CAGAGGACCCACCATAACATTTGCTTGGTACCATATTTTTCAATATGTTCTTGGCATGTCTATCACATGGTTGGTGTGCAGCTGGCACACTTCAAAGCCTGAAGTTCTAGGCAGGTACACCCTGGGGGTTAAGTGGGACAGGGTCCAGCTTTGTGGCCCATTTTCCAATTTTGCTGTCCTAACATCTCCACAGCCTCTTATCCTATCATAAGGCAATCTCAAGACATGGGCAAAGAGTATCCCTACATCTTTGGACTGTGATCAACGATGTTTGTAGTGTTTTTCCAATTCTTGCGCCACTTTTCCATATTTGGGCTGTTGTGTAATCCAGAGCACCAGACCATCATCCAGTCACCTATTGATTGGGAGGATGAATTTACCCCAAATCCTTTAGTTTTGAAATCATGGTCATTTGCAGAGTATCATCAAAAATGCCACTGGTATATTCCACTTTAGTTTCATCAAGGTATACTCAGATTGTCAACAAGTAAGCTTATTGAACAAGTGACTAGACTCAAATCACAAAGGTTAAGGGACTAGTTCGTAAAGGTAGGTGAACTTTATAAAATAACAAATACCAAGAATAACAGTAAAAGGTTCAATTCAAACTTCAAGCGCGGAGATTACTAACAAGGTGGGTTTGAACACAGATGGTTTAAAGGCACCTGGAATAAAATGGACACTGAATAGAGAAGTCTGATTGAAAAACTATTTGATTGGTTTATTGGTTAAAGTAAAAGATAAAGAACAAAAAGAAACAAGAAAACAACAGGGTTTATATACTCAACCCAACAAGCCTTCAGCGCACATTTAGCAAACAATTATGTAATGTTTCTAACCAAGATCACAAGACTCCTAAATCAAATATGGCTCTACCAAGCCCATGGATTCCACCTTGTTCAAGTGTAATCCAATGATACTTCTGTCAATCTCCCAATCCAGTCGTACTTACTCCCAGACCAACAGATGTAACAGTTCCCACGTGTTATTTCTGGATGGTTTTGTATGGAATCAACTCAAATGGGTCCTCAATCCAATTCAAGCGTCATGAATCAGGATGAGCCCCGGCCTGTCGGGCACGGAGACCACCCAAACCGACCCCCCTAGCAAAAAGCAAAAACAAAGCCTGGCTTCCGTGCCGGCTTTTCCCCGGCAAGGATTGATACCAGGGCCCCTAGCCCGACCCCCGCCACCGAAAGATTGGTGTCCCACCGATTTTCTAGTTTCCCGCTGAATCCCCGCGAGTTTCTGATGTACCCAAAGTTTTCACTGATCAATCACTTCTTTTTTTTGATGGCCTCACTTCCTTTACTCACTCTTGAAATGGAATTCATGTATTTACTTATTGTATCCATCTGCTCTTCCCTTAATCTAATAAATTTCTTCTATGTTTGTAGTCTGTCCACAGCGCTTGGTTCTCCAAGAAAAGTTGGGGATCTTGATACCTCAGCCCGGCTTCCAAACCGACGGATCTGGCTTGGTGTCGGGGACTGACCAGCCCTTGCCTGACAACCGTACCGGCGGTCCGGTGCACCAAAGATCCCCGCCTCTGCCGGAGACGGGGCTCATCCTGAGTCATAACTGAGAGTCCGTACTCCCTTCAGGAGTTTATAACATTAGTAATCAATTCAAATCACTTTCCCAAGTCATTTGATTTGTTAATAATGGTTATGTAAAAAAGAATGTATAGAAATTATAAAGATGAGACTGAAATTTGAATAATAAGATTAAATTTGAAACATATCACATGAGTAAGAGAAATGAGTAATAGAAAGAAACATGAATTTAATCTGAACCAATAATATTCTCAAATGTCAAAATAACTTTCACAGCATCTTTTCATCCTTATCTGTTAGCCAGGAGATAAGCTATTCAGGTAACTTATGCCCTGGCTGACACAGATCTCCTTGCAAGCCATCTTGAGGATAATTTGGCTTCAGGTTGGTGAAAAGGAAAATGGAGTGAGTCACATAAATTTACCAAAAATTAGGGGCATATAATAACAAAGCAACCACATTGAGTCCAAAAGAGCAAGGGAAAGATGAAGAATTAAAAAAATGAGTCAGAAATTTCAAACTGAGGACATCACAATGAGCACATTGCCACCATTGAGTTGAAAATTGCCAGCTAAAAATTGAAAAAGTCGTGGATTCAGGGGTTCCTTTGACAGATTTTAGAGAGCAAGAAGGGATTGTCATTCATTGTGCACCATGCTACAGAACTAGTGACTGTAGGCAAAAGACTGCCAAATGTGGTGTTTGAGAAGTGATGCCATGCTGTTTGCGCTTCTGTTTTGTACATTAAAGAAATTGTCTTGTTCAAGAAATGTCTAACCAAACAGGGCCTGGACATTAGATGTGCAGGTGATCCCTGTTGTAAGTCCCTCTCATTGAGAAAGAGGAGATTCCAATTCTTCTGACCAGCAGACCTGAACCCAATTGAAGGCATACACTCACATTTAATGAACTTTTGTGTTTTGTAACTCGTCCCTTTGGTCACGTGTTGTCACTGAATCATACAACCTTCAGACTGGGACAGAGAACTGCCAGGCAATGTGCAGATTGATTCAACTTGTGTGTCAGCTTACAATTCTTAATGCTTCACCGGCCCTCTTTTCTATCTCAGAGGCTTGTACGGCATTTGCCTTGTGGTAAATGTATTTGTGCAAACACATCATATGGTTGTTATCAGTGGTAGCATCATTGTGTTTTGTACAAGACAAAAATTTCAGTCAATCACTTGAAAAGGCATGGGGAATGAAAGCCTTAATTGAAATGGATATATTATGTTGGCAAGTTGGTCCTCAGATCATTACTGGATTGGTTCTTGACATGCACTCCCCAAACCCTTCAATGTATGGTATTGTTGAGACAGGGACAGGAACTCCATAACAGATGAAGACAGTTTTTGTTTGAACATCTTGGGGTAATTAATCATGATCACCTTGGAGGAAGTCAAGCAGATGACATTTGACCGCAGCTTGATCATATATATTTGTTGTTTTTGTCCTGTTGCCCTCATTGGAATCCAAAAGTAATCATCTTGTGTTCTTCTTGATTTCAAAATCTTTGTTTTACAAAAACCTTTTCTGATATGCAAGACATAAAAATCTTTCAATAATCCAGCTCCCTATATATTGTCATAAACCTTTCCTCAAAGGTCATCTGAATTGAGCCTCAGATGGGTGTTTATCAGGAGGCATCTATATTGAGGGAGAGGCTCCAACTTCAGAGTGATTTGCTACATGAACTGATGTTATACATTTCCAAAAGACCCAATGATCAAAGGGGGGCTTGGTGACCCCATTTACAGTCAAACCCGTGCAATCACATAATTTGGGTGGAAGACTTTTCCTATGCATTTTGACGGGTTATGCAATGCTGTTGTCAAATTTGGCAGTAAAAAGCATCAAGATTGAGGAATTTTTCTATGCATTATCATGGGTTATGCAGCTGCACGGGTATGCAATTGTGCGGGTTTGACTGTACAAGAGAAATTTGACACATCTGAATCCGACCATAACAAAATCTAACTAAGAGTCATGAGATGACATTAGAGATGAGATGTAGGATTGATTGCATAGATTCAATGACTGATCCAGTCCACTCAGGTATCCCTCAGCTGATGAATACATTTTAGGCTCCATGTTGTTTGAGTTGAAATGTCTGATCAATGAAACTAAGGAGAAACCAGCTCAAAAGCCAGAAAAACTCAGTCCTGATAAGTTTCTCAAAATCCAATTGATATACAATTGTTTGTGAATGAGTAACATGTTTCCTTTTCTTGTAGAATCAAGTCTTCATGTGTTTTCAATGTTTCCACGGGCATGACATTATTTGCTCCTTTACTGGTCTATGCATAATGTGATGTAGTCCAGAACAGCTGATTGGATCCATATATAGTGTGCCAATGCCTTGATCCAAATATGAAGAAGTTTGATCCCGTGTGATCCCCGCCTAATTGTGATACAAATCAAATCATCTGCATAATGATACATTAGGTAAGAAGAGTCTTGCACCGTTTGAAGACGACCCGATCTATGCATCAAAAGTCCTTTGCATCGACTGCGAAATTTGTTGGAATTTTAAGGCTAGTTATGACTTCATCCACAGATATCTGTGGGTATGTTAGGTGACTGCAATCTGATTGGTTTCCATTTTGCTTGTATGTGCATTCAAAAAGTCTCTCCCGTGCGAATTCTTTTCAAAACGTTGAGCAATATGGAAGGAAGAGGCTCAGAGATCCTCCAATGAAGATTATGTGTCCTCGTGACCATTCATCTGTAGATCTTTTGCAATATGTGTGCTAAATCCTCTATGATGATTGTTCGGCTTTCATGGCTAGCGGTGAGGACATCCCTTTCTCATCGGTTAGTAAAATTTGACATAGCCAGGCTGTGGCCGACGCGCACATCAGCCGTTCAAGTTTAGACAAAATTGGTAAAACAAGTCATGTACAGGCGTTGTATCTGCTGAGCTGACGAACTTTTTACAATTTTCGGATCAACCATCCTTGGAACGGCTGTAACTCTGAAGAAAAATAAATTCAGTCCTTCGTGAAGTACATACTTCGTCATGCCAGAAATCTTGCACACCAGGCAGTCTATATATTCGATCTAAATGAAGCCTCGCTTGTACCTTGGCACACTGGATATATCAGATAAGATCTCCAAGGATGTTGTAAGATGAGTGAAGTTTAGATTTTGATTTGTTAAAAGTATAACCATCAAGGACGATAAGTACATATCCAAATTGAGATATGAGAAAGTGAAATACTTTTGAGTTGAGGAATGTCAAGATATACAAACTCTCCGATCAGTCATGGCTTAATGGATTTTTAAATTAATCAGTAGTTTAGTGATATCCTCTGATTTCCTCCTTCCTTTGCAACTTTGAGCCGTTTCTGGACTTGAACTTATGTACTCGAATAACTTCTCATCGTCATCCTCGATCGTTCTCGATTCCTTCATCCATCAGATCACAAATATCTAAACAACATGACATCTTTGATTTCATCTACTCATCACGCCAAATATGACCCTAACACGGGTGTATACTCACCAGCTCACTATCCTAACTTACACATTCCCTCTAATCTGACAATCGATCAATTCTTGTTTTCTTATACACCTGCTCAAGCACTCACTTCTGATTCTCAAGGCCAAGGTCATATCCGACCAGATCCAAGTGGCCGCACATGGCTCATTGATTCTGTTACTAACAAGCAATATACGTTTGAGAACTGCCGTCAGCGTACCGAAGATCTTGCTTGCGCTTTTCGTGCTCATCTTGGTCTATCCGAGCCTGACGATGTTTTGGCCATCTATGCTCCCAATGACATCGATTACCCACTTGTCATGTGGGGAGCTTTTCGAACTAACGCAATGGTTTCAGGTGCAAACCCATCTTATACGGTGGATGAGTTGGCTTATCAACTTGAAGTCTTATCTAAGCGTTATAAACTCAAAGGACTCATCACACACCCAAACAGCCTTGAAACTTCACTCAAGGCAGCTCAACAAGTTGGAATCCCAAACGAGCGGATAGTATTGATGTCAAGTCAATTAGACCGGCTGGCGCCGCCTCAAACTCCAAGTGGAATCCTCACTCTTGATGGAATGATTCAAAAATACGCTCATGTGGCTCAAAAGCCTTTACCGATTGTCAAGCTTACAGCTGAGGGGGGAAAAGACAAAGTCGCGTTTTTGTCCTTTTCAAGTGGTACGACTGGTTTACCGAAGGCAGTCCAAATTCCGCATCGAGCTGTGATCGCGAACATGATTATCATCTTACGGCATATGGACGAAGACGTGTCGGGGGAAAGAATCATGGCGGTATTACCTTACTATCATATCTGTTTAGCCATTTCTTTCATCTTCTCTCCTCAAAATTCAGAACATCCCTGCACACCTGTATATCATTCACATCACTTGGCTCATGAAAAATTGAATTTGTTTGCCCTTCATTCTCGGCTCCTCTACTGGTCTTTTTGCCAGTCGGTTTAGTGGTAGTGTTACATTCGTCTCTGTACCGGGGAATGGCCAATGTAATCGCACCGCAATTTTCCTTCAAACCTTTCCTCGAGAACATCATCCGCTACCGGGTATCCAGACTCTGTCTTGTCCCACCAAGTTTAGTAACTTTGCTTATCGAATCTTTAAGTTCCCCCTTGCTCATCTGAGAATTATGAACGATATGATGGTGCTTTCATCTAAATGTTTAACTTTCTGTGACTGCATCACAATACATTTAATACGGAACACCTTTCGTCATTTTAAACAATTCACGCGCGTCAAAAGTGGTGGTCTTAATGGTCAAGCACCCTGCCGGAACTCGATTGGCAAAGGAGATTCAAAAGTCTCTGAAATCAATCTTATGCGGGGCAGCTCCGTGAGTAAATAGTCTTGATGCTCAAAGCATAAAAAGCCTAACAGGTTCTTACTTCAATTTCTTGATTACATCCTTCACTTGAACACGAGGAAAGGTTAACACAAGAGTTGTTCGACCAACTTCTTCAGATGTATCCAAATGTCCGGATCGGTCAAGGATGTATGTCCCCACCATATTTTTGCTTTGACTTACCGCATCATTCTGAATCACATTTCGATTTGTTGATGAAATATCCCGTTCTGACTGCAACAATCATCAAACAACTTTGTAGATGGGATGACTGAGACTGCAACCTGGGTCACTGGTTTGCCAAGTAACATCGAACCAGCTCGTGGCGCATCAGTCGGTGTGATTGGTCCAAACATTCAGCTGAAGATTATCGATCCATCAGGTACGCCTGTAGGCTTTGGCCACAAAGGCGAGGTATTGATTAAGAGCCCATCGAATGCAGTTGAGCCTTTCTTGTCATTCTTTCCACACACCCTCTGAGAGGGTCAAGTTTATAAAAGTTTGACGGTTTTTACCTACGTAGATTGGTTATTTAGCCAACCCCAAAGCAACTGCTGAGACATTTGATCAAGAGGGCTTTGTCCACACGGGCGACGAGGGCTACGTGGACTCACATGGCTGGTCCGAATTTTCTTCCTTTTTCATACACTTCATTCTGGTACAAAACTTACTGAGAATTCACATTTGGTATCTCTTTTGTTCTCTCATCAGGGTCTACGTAGTCGACCGACTGAAAGAATTGATCAAAGTCAAGGGAAATCAACTAGCACCTGCTGAGCTAGAAGGTCTGCTCCTTAACCATTCTGCAGTAGCAGATGTATGTGTGATCGGCGTCCCTGATACCTATTCAGGAGAAGTGGCTAGAGCTTATATCGTGGTTTCGGAAGAAGCCCAGAACTTAGATCGAACACAACTGGCCGTAGACCTTGCTCAGTTTGTTAGCTCGCAAAAGATACGATATAAATGGCTTGATGGCGGGATTGAGTTCGTGTAGGCCTTGTTTTCTCTTTCATCGACGCTCTTGGGATATACTCATAGCTTGTATGCGTTGGCAGGGAGTCAATTCCGAAGAACCCGTCAGGAAAGATCTTACGAAGGGTGTTGAGGGATCAGTATAAGGCTTCCTTGAATTCTTCAAACCCCGGTGGAAATGCCAAGCTTTGAAGACCAACTTATCAATGCAACACTGTACATCATGAAGTCATAGAACGTATTGACAGACTTTGCTTAATTTCATGACAAAAAAAAACTCCAATTTTCGTCAAATGTGCTCCACCTTCGTTTCTTCTTTCCAATTTACTCCATTATCTTTCTATCTTTTCTGACTCCATTATCATTCTGAAAGTTTTGATTCATCATGGCTGTCGAGATTTTTCCATTTTGACTCTACACAGCAACTTAATTTTACTAACTATGATTACAAAACAATTAGTCAAATTTGACTGGTGCGGTCAAGTCATACCACGGATCCAAGACCTGTAGAATACATAGGTGATGTTTTTGACTTCAAGTAAGGCATCATTGTGCCAAGAGAGAAATAGTGCTGTTGGACGTGACACCAAGACCTGTTTTCGGATACAGACGCTGTTTCTATTGACAGAAACTGATTGATGTGAAATCAAAAGCACCTCTAAAAAAACAAAAAAAAACATGTCCGGCACGTGACCCTTGAGGTTGAAGCTTGGTACCATCATGGTCCTTGGCTAGCAATTCAACCAATTGTACATAGACTTATTGGTAAAGCCAAGATATCTCAAAAGATAAGTTGTATAAGTTTTGTTTTAATATCAAATCTGTCAAACAAATAATACCACACTGAATATCATTTATCATGTCTGATGTTCTCTACCAAACCACAGATTTGGGCAAACTTAACAAAGTCCTTCACATGTGGTGAACCCCACACTGCCAACATAGATGCCTCAGGTCAAGAAATCCAAGGCATCATCAGAGGCAAATCCTTGGACAGACCTTGTTCAAGGTCTCCATCTGAGGTATTCTTTTGCGCTGAGAATTAGCTTGGATGCCAAACCTTGGACAGATGCTTCCCAAGGTTGGGCATTTGAGGATACCTCAGATCTTTCAATTCAAGGTAAAGATGTTGGCAGTGCTGAAGCCTGCATAGGGACTTACACCAAACGTGGCTCTCCTGGCTTGAGAGGTCACAAGATTTAGTAGGGGAAAAATGGACCAAATGAAAAACCTTTGCCACACAAAAGCTTTTCAAATTTCCTCTTGAGCAATGGAAGTCCTGCTTCTTCCAGACAATACACTCTATTCAGATCCTCCTTAACTCGAGTCACCCTCAAGTTTTCATTGTTATCCAAATTGCTTCTTTTCAATTTTTACATACAATCATGTCAGTTATGTAACATCATCCTGTGCTTTGGATTTTTGAAAATCAAGGATCTGCTTTTTGGGCATCAATGGAAACTTGAGAACAACTCAAGACATGGAGAATCTGAGTTGAGTGTAAATGATGTCAAAAGCCCCTACAGGCCCTCAGATCTGGCGACTTTTGATCAAAATTCAAGGCTTCTCAATGTCCCACCTCATACAGTCATTTTCAAAAAGGTTGCCCAAATTTGCCGGCAAAACTCCAAACTTAACTAAGTCCCCTGCCAGCGGCCCAAGGCTCAAGTGAGAGACTTACCTCAAAAACAAGAAATTTGGCTTGAGAAGTGAGCTGTATTGAGCTCAAAACCGCTACATTGTGTTCTTGGTTTTGTGGCTATATAAACAACACTCCATGAAAAATAAAAGGTTGTTTGAAAGAGTCCATTACACATGCTAGTGTTTCAAGCTCTCCAATATGTTTTTGGGAACTTGCACCTTTGGGTGGTCCAAGATTGGAGTTTTTTGCTGGTTTCTGAGAAATACAGGCTTCAAACCCGCTCACTGCTCAGGAAGCGGTGAAAAAGTCCAATAACAAATCACTGAGAGCGCGTTCACTTAAGCAATTTCTGACTAGAAATTGCTTTTTACACAGCACAGAAATCGCTTTCTGTAAAAAGCGTTCGATTTGTTATTTACAAGCATTCTGTAATGTACAGAATGCTTATAAAAATTGCTTTTTGCCTCAATTTTTAAAATTTGGTAATAGTGATTTTTTTTGATTTTTACCCCATTATCTCTTTCTGATATCTTCAGAGCATCCGCACTCGTTTGCGGTTGTTAATTTGGTCACGTGCGGTAACAAACACAACATTAAGTAAAAAGTTACTTAACTCAACCAAATTTCGCACTCGTTTGCATTAGCAGCGCTGTAACTTTTATAACTTTACAGATAGTGCATGTACTCCGCACCGGTCGTGCAGTAAGGTAAAGTTTTAATTTTTTGAGTACACATCACCTGCTTTCATGGCCAGTTTTCATGTGATAGAGGCACTGTTCTCTTCTTTGCACTAAGATACTAATACTCCATCTACACATGAAGACCCGATATCATCCTGTTCATCTACTCGATCGATAGATCTTAATTTAAAATTACAAATTTAACATGAGTTTGTTCAGATCTTAATACATGAATTCCAATTAAAAAACAAAGGCTTTACTACATCGAGAAAGCTTTTAATGAGTCTGAATACACATAATGATCTTGTAAAAGATTTAAAGATTTAAAACTAGGAAATAAAAATCCAAACTTCAATTTTTAATTTGTATCACTTGATCCTAAAAGTCCTCCAATGATTGGTCTTTTAATGTTGATTTTCTTAAATATTGACCTCTACATAGCTATATGAATCTAGACATCTTTCATTTTCATCTGAATGGTTTGGAGTCGAGTTCAAGATGGTTGATTGACTTATTTCAATTGAAGACATCGATCGGTGTCAAACGTTCTCGAGTTGATTCATGCAACTGTAAGGCTTGGAATTCATCGTGTGTGAGTGGTGAAAAGGATATATTGGTTGTTGACTTTGGTGTTGGAGGTCTGGTTGAGTTTTGTTTTTGGAGTCGAGTTGCCGGGAACAAGTCGTGATGTGTGATACCGCATGCGTTAGCCAATTGGTAAATTTACCGATTCGCTAACGCAAAATGACCGAAAATTAACTACCGCGGGGCTAATTTTTCACCGGTGTGGAAAAGACCCCGCGTTTGCGGTAAATTTAACCTTACCGCACCCGACTTACCGCACGAGTGCGGATGCTCTCACAAATTTTCCCAAGTCCCTCTTCACCGTACGGATGGTCATAAACCCATCAAAACCCATCACATCATCTCCAAATCCATACCCCAACACTCCTCACCTGATTTGACTTCTTCAACTTGTCGCCATCAATCATCCATCCATTCTTTTCCATCTCACCCATCTAAACACCTTGGCCATGTCTGACCACAATTCAAACACCAGTGCTGGTGTTGAAGGCTCGACTGATCAACCATTGACATCAACCAACATTGATCCAATCAAAACAAAGTCAAACAAAAAATTAACACCAGCTTCTGTAGTCAAACAAACAAAACCGAAAGAAATCAAATCAAAGAATAAGAAGAAATTAAATGAGAATATTCAATTAAATGAAATTAAAGAAAACATTGGAGATAAGAATAAATTAAAAGATAAGAACAAATCAAATCAAATCAAAGAAGGAGTTGAAGATAAGCAAGATAATGAGGATGAGGATGAAATCGTAGTCAGTGGTGGAAATTGGATTCATAAGTGCACGGTATGGTTGCTTGATGAGCATTGTCATCAAGTCGAACTTGGAAATGGAAATGATGGAGGACTCAAGTCGGCGGCGTGGAAGACTGTTCTTGAAGCCTACAACAAACGATGGAAGACTAACAAATCATTGATTCGTTTAAAGAACCATATTTAAAAGGTATGTATCTCATTCTTTTCTTTCTTCTTCTCATTCTTTTTTTTCCTTCTAAATGAATCCTGATTTGATTCTATCAACGTTCTCTACATCAACAACCAAGCTTAAAACAACTTACCGGGCATTCGATAAGATAATAGGCTTGAGCGGGGCTCCTGGGACTGATACCACGACTGGTATTGTCCATGCCGATAAAGAATGGTGGGATCAATGGATTAAAGTGGTCAGTTGTTTGGTCAAATTTAATCCTGATCCCCTTTTTTATTAATCCACTGCAATGATTGTTATAGCATGGCAATAAGGATGCCACACCGATCAAGAACAACAGTTTTCCAGCGTATAAAGCTGTCTCAGCGATCATGCCCGCAAAACATTTACAAGCTAATGGTAATGATGGATTAGGTACTCAGAGCAAAAAAAAGAAAGCATCACCAGCCGCTGATGATGAAGACGGAGATGATGAGGATGGTAAGTTTCTTTATGTTTTCCTCAGTTGGATGAAACACTGACACCAATCCATTCTTCTGCACAGAAGTGTTTCCATCTGCAGGTGATTCGATCAAAGGGATGGCTACTGATCAAAGCAGCGACGGTATGGAAGTGGAAGAAAAGCCTGTTATGGACAAAGATGTTAGAGATAAGGACAATGGGGCTAGTAGTGAGTCGGATCCTCCCCCAAAGTCCAAAAAGGGTAAATTGGTTGTTAAACCAAATAACAAAGTAGGTTCTCATCAATATGTTGTATAAGAATCATAAAAAACAATTGTACTGACCGGTTTTATTCATTTTGAATATAGAATAACCCGTTTGCAAGGCATTTAAAAATGGCTTAGCGTCAATTTGAAGAGGAGGACGAGGAAACACCTGAGATGAAGTTTGTACGTAGCAAGAGGGGTCCGGTTAACCGAGATGCTTCGACTTCAACTGCAACTGCCAAACAATCTCACACCACTGGACCTAAACTTATCTCACAATTGATTGATTGAGCTGTCAAATTAGAGGAGCAAGGTGAAAATGATAGGATCACGATTGCAAGGATGAAGTTAGAACAACACCCAAAACGAAAAGAGGCCATGGATCTATTCAACCGTGGATGCAAGAAAGAGCTGAAGCCTGAACATATAATTGAAGTAGCAAATAAATTGAAGAACGACAGCACAGCTTCTTTCTTCTGTCATATGTCTAAGGATTTTCAGTGGGCATGGTTGAGAAATGAAGCTGGGGTATCCCAATTTTATCAGGACAAGTAACATCAATTATCTTCAAAGGTTTTCCTCAAAAAAAATATCAAATTTATCAGATTTAAATATTATCTATTTTCCTTTTGTTTGTATTTTCATTCTACAATTTTAAGTTTACTTCTCATTGCAAAAGATGTGTACAAGTCACTATATATATATAATAGGTTTGATTTGGACATATAAATATATGTATGATACTTTCTTCAAATGTTACAACTAACTGCAATAAGGATAACATTATGTTAAAGAAGAAGTGTTGCTAGATTTGAGTAATAAAAAGACAACTGCTAATTTAAGTATTAAAACGACAACAATGAGAAACAAAAGATTTGAGAAATAAAAAGATAACTGGTTGATTTATGTATTAAAAAGATAATGTTGAGATTCAAACACATCGTTGAGCAGCAGCAGCATGTAGGTAGTCATTGAACATTTGATCTGCAATACGATCACGCATATCATTTGCTTCAGTTTGTTGTGCAGGGATGGGTGCAGCCCAATCAGGGTCATCGTAATCAGCAGCCATTTTGGTTTCCAACCTCTCTTTTAAGGCATATTCTTCGTAGAATTTGTCTTCTCTGGATTCAATTCAAATGATATTATGTAATACGCAACAAGCAATCACGACCTTAACTTGAGTTTTATAAGGGAGTGATGGCATTGAGGCTAATATAGGGAATCTCATCTTATTCACGCCAAATATATGTTCAATAATGATTCGAAGTGATGAATGACAGTGATTGTAGAGTTCCTTGGCCGTCTGTGGTGCAAGATTTGAATGTTTCCACTCCTTGAGTTGGTATTGGACGGATCAATAGGGTGTTAGAAAACCTGGAACATTTGCGTATCCAGCATCTGCTACATAGAAGTGGCCTACATCAAACAAAGATTAAGATGAATGTCCAATAATCATCATCATGGTTAAAAGAATATCTGACCTTCTGGAACAACAAAACGTTCTTGTTTGAGTGCTTGATGCAGCACTTGAGCATCAGCGTAAGAACCTTCCAAGCCAGCGTAGACAAAAGTGAAAAGCATGTTGAATGAGCAGCCTGCGAGTACGTTTTGGCTCAAATTGCCTTTTCGATTACGGTGAGCAGGTTGACGATCTGGCGGAACAATACACGGTATGTGGGTGCCATCAATAGCACCCACACAGTTATCAAAATAGGGAGTCATTCTGGGATTGGTTTGTATCTCTTTTGGACAGAGCTCGTTGGCCACCGGCTGAACAATATAGATTGATTCCAGTGACGCAATGGCATTGCACACTTTGTTGAAGTACTTGCTGATTGTAGCTCCAGAGCGTTGGAAACGTTCTCCAGCCACTCAATTGGATCCTGAGTTGCCGATAAAAAATCATGACTCGTTCTTCCACTGTGACACTCCTGTTGCGGTGGATAACAAGCTTACCTTCAAGGGCTTTGATTAATCCCTTGAAGGCAAGCTTATCCATGCAACACAGCTCTCGAAACCGTACGTCAGAGCCTTCTAAAATTTCTTTCGTATATTCATTTCCGCAAAGTTTTGATGTGCGACAAGGGATCTTGGGTGAGGTAATCAGGGTCTCTAGGTATTCCTTGCCGGCTTGAATCACATGTTTGAGCAGCTTGCTCCTTCTGAATGACGTTGAGGACACCATGGAGTTTGAACTTGAAGAATAGGAATCTGACATGATTGGTGATGGTTGTATGTACCATCACCAAACCCATTACCAATCCCATTCTGTGCCTTGTTGACCTTAAATGGTCAACAAAGCAAACACTTTTCACATGGATTCTAATGTCTTTCTTTTGAAAAGTGAAATTACAACATTTTACTGTAAAAAGACTTTTGTACGTGTACAAAAGTGGTGCCTTAAAAATTGATTCCTACAAATCCGGGCTAAGTGAACGCGCTCTGAGCCAGTGTAACTTCCAGTCCACAACTGGAACTTCTGGAAGTTGGAGCATATGTAACGGCTTGTGGCCATTATTTTATTCCTTTGCACAAAAAGGACTTGAATGAGCCAAAAAAAGTTGTCAAGATGTAGAGATTTTTTGCTGAATATGCCTACTTCTCACGCAAGAATTTGGGTTTTTGAGGTAAGTCCCTAGCTCAAGCCTTGGGCCGTTGGCAAGGGACTTAGTTAAGTTTGGCAAAACTCGAGCAATTTGGCGGTGAATTCGTGGCAAGCTTTTTGCAAGGACCATTGTAGCAGTTTTTTGCAGTTTGACCCACTAAATGTGTGAGACCCCGCACAACAGGTTAGGGTGATAAAGCTGCGGAGGTGGCTTATGCCCTTTCTAAGATAGAGGGTTTCAAGTCAAGGAATTTATGGTATTTTGCAGTCCAACAAGTTGTCCAATGTTGCAAAATATACTGTAAATTTAAAGAAATCAGGACACTTTTTTAGGTGTCCCAAATGCTGTTGACCATATATTTGCATAAGAAAAACACCGTAAAATTCAAAAAACTTGTCTATTTTTTGAAAAGTTTTTTTCTGACTTGAAACCCCCTATTGTAACAAAATTGAATCTTTTAAAACTTCTCTCTCACCATATGCATTGCCAAAATCAATCACACATCTGTCTCCAATCATGCTTGTCTGATCATAATTTTCCTCTCTTCAGAACCTAAATTATTTGAGTGTCTTCTTTCTTCTTCAAACTAAATCTCAAAGATTAATCCATAATGTATCTCTAAGCTTGTTCGCAGTCTGATGTATGGTTGAAAATTCAACAAAAAATTTCACATCGGAGTACAGCTGTTCTAAGAATTCGTGTCATGGTCGATTTTTTTTTTTTTTGTTTCTTTGACACCTCCATTCAAATGACTGCCCATACAGGCGCTGTATACTAGGTCGTGTATCACATATCTTAAGCTAGGTCCTCCTACGTGAAGACCTGGCAGATGACAGGGCTTCTATCCTGGTCGCACCATTCACTCACCCAACACTTTCCCTCAGCATCACCTTAATTGCATTCACTCAACACCTCACTTGTCTTCCATCACCGGTCGGAATCAATGGTGTTTGGCTCTGAGACCTTTCAAGACTCAACATCACTATACGACTGCGGCAAATTTTTCTAGCAACCACAACTTGATTGGGTGGCGATTGGGCATAAATGGTGGTCTACCTTTTGATCTCGTTGGACCAACTCCTCACGTTTTTGGACGACATCAGTCTGTTTCATTCCCAGAAAATGCCAATCAGAAAATTCTCTATGTTCGAGTCTCAGATTTCTCTTTTTTTGGTTATCAGTCTCACTGACTTCATTGATTTCCTGTCTTTGGTTCATTTGCAGGCCGTCCGACGGCCGATTTGATAACTTACGATCCTCGCCACGTACTCGCACTCGCAGTTATCAAGCTATGATTTCTGGAGCGGACACGGTGACCTCAAGTCGGTAAGCATGTCAGTCTCATTACATTTCAGATATAGTCATTAACCTCAGGACCTTTTGTAGTAACACTTCGGGTTTCCTCAATCAAATGGAAGCGTTGTCAAACTTACCGCCTCATTACCTGCCTCACCCACCACCTCCGTCTTATTTGCCCTCCATGTCACCTTCAAAGGGTGACATGGCTAACCCGATTGACCCGACTGACTTGATTACTCCTGCAATGACCCCTCAATTGACCCGTACCCCGGCTGGTTTCGAATTGGCTAGTGGTCCGACTTTCCCTGCTTTCACCTCGTCCCAGTCTTCTTCTGGCTCTTCGATGAATCCTCACATCAGTCCCATGTTTCAAACCTCTCCAACGTTCCATCATCCTGCATCCGCTACTTCGTTCTACTCTACCTCGTCAGTTACTCCTGTAAAGCGTAGTTTCACTGCGAGCAGTCGCCTAGATGATGATATGAACCACAACCCGGCTCCAGGTATGTCCTTGATGCCAGTCCAAGCCTTGGATTACCTGTTGCTAATCATGTGTTTCATACAACCTACCAGAATTGCCTGTCGATTGTTTTGATAATATCATACCCGCTGATGATATTCTCAACCAACCGGCGGAATCGATCCCTGAGCGAACCTTTCAGGTCTCTTTCAATCTCTGGCAACTGGTTGTTCCTGAATCTCCTGAACCGAAGAAACAGAAGCGACGCTCTGGAGGACGCAGACCCAGCAAGCCCAAGAACAATGCCCCTAAGTACATCAACTACAACCCAAAACTCGGCCATCAGTTCATTTTCCGTCCTTGCCATTGTCCCTTTGTCGTTTTCAAAAGAGAGCTCTTCATGTCTTGCAACAAACAACTCCCAGGTGTCTCAGATGCTCTCCAGCGTGCGTGGATGGACTCCAGTCTCAAAATTCAGGCTTCTATCACCGGAGCTGGACGTCCGAAGGGTAACAATAAGTTTGAAATCGTCGAAGGGACTTCTTTCTTCGATTTCATGAATGCCGCGATGGCTGCTCCTGACACGGCCAAGATGGGTTTCAAGATCATGCACGAAAACCCCAAGGTTACCGCTAATGCACTTCGATCTTTGAAAAACACCGCCAAACCCCCAGAACACCCAGACGATTCTGAGAGCTCTGATGGTGACGAGTCTGTCAGATCCAAAGGAGTGAGTTTTTTCTTTCATGTCTTTTTGTGTTCATTTTGCTCTGCCTATGCCTTTCAAGTGGACTGACATGTCTTTCTGGCAGTCGGACATCCTCACCCCAGGAGAACGCAAACTCCAAATCTTGATGGAACGCTTCTCAAAAGATTTCAAAAAAGGCGAAAACATCACCTCTGTGCCAAATCCGAAGGACCCAAGTCAGATCCTTATTTTGAACACGGCACGCTTACGCACGTGGGCCAATGATTGGGTCAGTCATTCATTCAGATTCTTCATTCTCCAACTACCACTGATTTTTGTCATTCACAGGCCGATGAAGTTCCTGGTGTTGACGCTGTCAACCCCCCTATGTCTCGTCCTGGGTTTACCTGGGTCAACGTCGCGGATTATGAGCGTGAAAAAAACCTCGCAAACTCCAAATCTTGATGGAACGCTTCTCAAAAGATTTCAAAAAAGGCGAAAACATCACCTCTGTGCCAAATCCGAAGGACCCAAGTCAGATCCTTATTTTGAACACGGCACGCTTACGCACGTGGGCCAATGATTGGGTCAGTCATTCATTCAGATTCTTCATTCTCCAACTACCACTGATTTTTGTCATTCACAGGCCGATGAAGTTCCTGGTGTTGACGCTGTCAACCCCCCTATGTCTCGTCCTGGGTTTACCTGGGTCAACGTCGCGGATTATGAGCGTGAAAAAAACCTCCTCCTTGGGTTGTACCGTCCTGGCGCCGACATTTCGGCGAATACGACTTCACCTGGCGCGACCATAGTTCACAACAACTATTATGGACACCACGCGTTTCCACCAACTGGCCAGCCTATTCCGTTCCCCGGAATGCCACCCGTCCCAAACACAGCTATGCCTTTGCCTGGGTATTCTGGTGGAGGCGCCGCTGGGGATCCTCCAGCAGAACCACTTCGTTTGCCTTCTCCGTCCGTTCCGATTCCCGACTTTGAGACTTTCTTACTTTTTGCTGGTATACAACCCAATATGACCAAAACTCGAGAGGTTTTGGCTAATGAAGGCATAGACGACGTTCGTCGTTTGTTGGACCGTGGTACTTACACCATCGCCAACTTTCACAGCATGGGAGTGCCTTTCGCTCATGCTGAGGACATTTGGAAAGCTGTCCCGAAATTCCTTGACCATCTTAAGTCTACTTGATTATCTCTGTCTCTCGATTGTCTTTATTCAAAAATCTAAAGCAAGTTATGTTGGAGCAATAAAAAATCCCACCAAATGTTCCTTTTTTTTCTTACTGTTTCTTCAACTGCCTTCGAGGCAAAGCGCTTTTGTTTTTAGTTCACTTGAACTTGATCTCAGTTTCTTTAAACTTGTGAACCGATGATGTGAACCGATGACTTGTTTTTCTTCATTTTATGAGAAATAAAAAATATCCCCTGTTTTGCTCTTTACCCATTCATATCGGTTAAAGGAGTGACCCAAACAGCCAAGCAACCAGAAAACCTTTCAGGCTCATAAAGGTCTGACCCAAACAGCCGAGCAACCAACACTTAAAGTATGACTTGTATAAGACCAAATACAAGTCATACTTTAAAGTCCAGATTGCCAGACTTTAAAGTGATGAAGGTCACTAAAAGTATGACTTGTATAAGACCGAATACAAGTCATACTTTAAAGTCCAGATTGCCAGACTTTAAAGTGATGGAGGTCACTATCAACTGCTGATATATTGATGAGAGTTAAAGATCTGTTTTGGAGACTTTCATGATCAGACAAGTCTATGAATAGTTGCGATCAAAATGTTTTGATTGCAGGATACCAGGACAACACACAAAGAGACAAGAGGGACAAAAAAAAATCCATCCAAGGTGCCTCTAAGAAGACAACCGGATTTGGACTTGAAGGCGTAACTAAATATAACCCTCACTACACAAACAACAATTTGATAACTAAAACCTTTCCAACAAGGCGTAACAAGAGATACGTCTGAGATATCACTATAGCTCAAGATAGACAACTAAAACCACTTCCAACCATGTACTCGCCACAGGTAAGTCGAAACATTGGTATTAAGTCGAAACATCGGTAAGTCGAAACATTTGCTAAGATTCAGAGAGAGACAGGCCTTGATGAGCAACTTGCCTTTTGATAAATACAGAAGGAACTCACCTTCAAAATTCATCAACTATTCAAACCCAATACCCACACACCGCATATAGTTGGTGCATTAGAGCCCCTGTGAATACATCCCAAGTGGTATCCAAGATCAAGTCAATTTTCTCTCCCGCGGGGGTTTGCTGAAGGCTTTGAGTTCTTCGGAAGTAAGATTTGAGAACACTGAATGCTTTTTCAATTGGGTTTAAATCAGGTGAATAGGGTGGCAGGTAGATCAATCGAATCCCTTTCTTGGCAGCTAGTTTAGCTATACAACCACCATGATGGATTCGACAGTTGTCCATGACCAAGACTGAATTTGCTTGTGGATAAGCATTCATCACAGGAAACTGCATACATATAAAACAGACGAGGTATTGGGTGGCCAGCCACCCATAGGTCTACGGTAATGGCCGAGAGAGGAATGGAGGTCATCAGAATATGCATTTCTCACGTGACTCAAATCATTTTTTCCTATGTCATTTTACTCAGCTCTTATACATTATTTGTAATTGTTAAAGATTATTATATGTATATGCAGTTCATTTCATATCACTAACAAAGATCATAACCACGTAATGGACTCATCAAGCTCAGTTGTCTCCAAGCCCCGCTTTCCGGACTAATTGGATGGTGTTGACCTATTGTTAAGTCAGTATTAGTCATATTCTATGAGGCAGAAGAACATACCTTTACTCGCCAGTCATCCTCAACACTGTTCATCGTAATAAGTTCACCGCGCAGATCAAGCTTGTTCCCCGTACTTATTAGATGACCCTGCTTATGCCGGCTGTCATTATATAAGTATATAATACAGAACTCAGCGTAGCCCATAACCTATCAAACGAAGTCAGTCATTGTCACCTCTTGCATAGCAATTGAACTTACCTGACTACTCCATTCCCTGTGCTTGACTGACGCAACGATCCAAGTATTGCCATTCCTTGTTATGTAAGTTGTTACCCCAGCCACTAACCCTACACTCTTTACTTCCACTCCAATTTTATAATTTCTTACTGGTCCTGTTCGAAGTTTTAAGCCACTGTCCATGACTACTTCGATTGTCCTCGGACCCTCCTTGACCATTACCGGCCCACTAAGCACGTAAGCGGCGCCGCCTTCTGGTGAAACATCTAAATCGTCATGTACCAGAGCAACTTGAGCGTTGATTTCGGCCTTGCCTCCTAATGGTATGGTTCCGTTAAATCGAGGTTCGCAGGTACTACCTCTGTTGCAAATCTAAGTATGTCGAGTATTAGTTTTTAGGAAGTTCCCACGGGGTTAACGACTAATACTCACTGTAGCTTTCATTACAATCATCCCGAACCACATCATAGGCAGTCGTTTGTAGCGAAACACATCCATTGTTGCTTTGTAGTGCGGAAAATATATGTTAGTTGGTAGATTGCGGTAGAGTTTCGGTACAATATTAGACGTAGGTTTGGAGAGGTTCTGATAACACTTTTTGATGAGGAACAAACGACTTTGAATGGCCTACTAGTCACGCAAGTCTTTATACCATGGCGTCCCAGATGCTAGTCAGCAACCAAGCACCTAATTTGCCTAGCGTTATGCTCAGTCATTGACAATTTGAAGAAGGCTACCTCAATGACTATAGCTGGCCTGAGCCAGTTCGATACGTAGAAACTTGTTATGACAATGACTGCATAAGGTCAGTATCCAGCTGGCCCATTTGCTCTGTGTCAAATTGATCATTTCTCGGGGAGAGCATTGCGTTTCCAAATGACCGTGGTGATTCGGTAGTCAACCGATTCCGATCAATACTGGTTGTTATTACTTGTCTTTAGAATAACTCAATAGCTACAATTCACTATGCGCTAACATACATAACATAAACAGATACAGATTGACAACTGAATAACCAAACCAGTCCAAGACAGTCAATGCGGATATTATAATCTCATCGCTTGATGTGTCACTACGTTGATAGTGTCAAGTGTTGATGATGAGCCGGGCAGAGAGACTATTGTATTTTGTGCCGAAGTACATCTTGATAAACCAACGTATAACTGACCATGCGCAAAAACTGGCGTAGGCAACGCGAGACAGACATTCTCTAATGTTTGGCCTTGTGCCTTGTTGATTGTCATCGCATAGGCAAGAGTCACAGGGAACTGTAAGCGGTAAAAGGAAATAGGGACCGACTCACTCCCAGGATGGTGTAGACGCATTCGCGGCAAACACAAAGTGCTGCCCGAGCGAGGTCCGGTTATGATCTGACACTGCAGCACATTCTCAGAGGTCTCGAGCACCAGCAAACGAGTACCATTACTGAGTCCTTGTTGAAGATTCAAATTTCTCAGAACAACTACCACTACACCAACTTTCAAGCGTAATCGGTGACCTGGGAACCCGGCGAAGCTGAATGAATTCAAAACCTCGGTGCTGACCTGCTCCGACCAATCTAGATCCATTTCGTCGACAGACTTGTATTCTTTGAGGCTCGATTTCAACTTATCCAACATGAATTGATTCATGAGATCGACGGTGTTATTTAACGGCGTAATAACTGCTCGCGACGCATAGTAAGCGGACAACTTAAGCCAATCTTTTTGATCAATCAAATTGTGTGATTCTTTGTAAAATCGATAAAATAGACCCTTATCGAATTGGGCAGAAGCTTTGTATCTCGTAACCTTGACGTGTTCAATCTCAACTAAACTAACGGGATCATCTTGGAGATTACCTGACCCCAACTTGAGTAACCACGCGGCGAACGACGCATTCTGGCGTGCGAGTAAATGATTGCTTCCAAGTAGACGCAGATTCTTAGTGAGCCGAAACTGTCGGACTGCCTGCCATAAATGACTGAATTTAATTGAAGCGCGTACGGCGTCCAATAAACTACCGTGAATGATGACAGGCAATATTTGTCTAAAATCACCAGAGAAAAGAGTGACGATCCCGCCAAAAGGTTCGTCAGAGCAACGTAAGTCTTTAAGAGAGCGATCAACACATTCAATCGCCGATTTATTCATCATGGATATTTCATCCCATACCATGAACTCCACATTTAAGAGCATTAGGCCGACAGGGTCGGTCCTTGAGAAACTACAGGTCGAGGTTTCATTCGGCTTGAGGGGAATGCCCAGCTTAGAGTGCGCTGTTCCGCCATTTAAGAGCAGTAGTGATGCTATTCCAGATGATGCGACAGATACGTAAGGAATGGAATTTGCGTTGCAATAGTGGAGACATAAATTGAGTAAGAAAGTCTTCCCACATCCTCCGGGCCCATCGACAAATAGTAGTCCACCGTCAGATTGTTCAAGGCAAGCCTTCACGTGGTTAAATATTGTGTTTTGTTCTTCTGTCATCTTCATCACGTTGGCGCCGAGATGGTCCCTGCTAGCAGTAGCAGTAACTCCACATTCATTGTCGTACATTGTACGTCCACCAATGGCCAGGAGAGCTTGCTGATCGACTTGGTCCATACCTACATCTGTAAGAGACTTGCCCATGTGACCGATGATACTTTCCATCAATGAAAGAGCGTAGTTACCCAATTGTGCCGGAGTTGGGTGCACCGAGGGAGACAGAAGAGCGAGAGCGTATTCGCAGTCGTCGGTGAAATCATCGATGTGGTTGTTCCATACTCGCATGGGATTGGCCGGTGGGCTGTGGACGAGAATCAACCCGAATAAATCTCTGAGTTGCCTGCCAGTTTTGAACTGCGCCGCTTCGGTTAGACATGCCTCAATATGTGTATCGGACATAAGCAAACCAAGTTCATTGGCTGCCGCTCTATAGCTTCTCAAGACTTGACCTCGGACGGTCCGGATTGCTTTAAAAGAGGTCGGTCCACGTAGGTGAGTGAGCAAGAGTCGTAAGTAATATCTTTCTCCATGACTCGGACCTGCAAAATTTAGCCGGCTAATTGAGACTGTGTTGTTTTCTCTGGGTAGCCATTGTTTTTCTTTCTTGGACCACCAATAATGTTCAGTCATCTGGGTGTATAACAATGACCGAACGCGATTGTTTTTTTTTGGCAATTTGGGGTTCAGCGAACATAGATTAAAAAATTCTGTAAGAGTTGTCCGCGCAGCACGGCCGGAATCAAGGGCATGAACCAGCTCATCGGTATTGTTGAAGTACACAGTGTGCGAGTTTTCTAAGTGCAGGGCGAGTCGAGTCACCGATGGTGAGCGGCCTGATAAAACATATTTGTACAGCCTCCAGACGGCTTCAAAGGTGTATATTAGTGAATGCCTTATGTAGTTCGCGAAAGCGGATAACTCACCTTCTGCCGCTGCCAATTCCCTTCCGTCAATGAAATCGTCCGGCTCGTTCTCCACTTCTAATTTGACGACTCGTCGATCGTGACCTTTACTGATGTACTTATACAAGTACTTGATGGACTTCATGCCGACAGTTACTTCACAGTTTATGTGACATCGGTATTTCAGGAGAAGGAATGGATTATAGGCTACTACATCGCGGTTTGTATATTTGTAACCATTCTTAAGGAAGAAGCGACCGTTGTCGGGTCGTTTGTAGGCGGGATAAGCATTCTCTGATATAACAGTGGTTGGTGAATACTCGCGTGGATATCCGTACTTGCATTTCGTGCCTGTCCAACAACTCTTTCCAGCATAGCACGGACCATGCAACATGAATTGAGTAACCAAAGTGTATAGTTCAGGCGAGGAATGGGGGTCCGGAAGTGTTGCAGAAACGGCTAGATCGACTCCTTCAGGTGTTTGAGGGGTAGCTTTACGATCATTGATCAAGACTGCGTGATCGTGCGGGTTACCGCGTTTCTGGAACTCGATAGTGTGTACGTTGGACAAATTCTTTCCTAGCCGTCCTCGCTTGAAGACGTCCCTGTGCATTTCAGCCAACTTCATGCGAAAGACACGGGCAACCAAATCGGGGCGATCAGATGGGTCCTGTCCTGGCAATAAAGCATCGATGACCTCTGGCCACTGGGGGTTCGCAGTCATTGTTATGAAGTAGCTAGGTGGGCCGTACCACTGGACCAACGCCATAGCGTCGTGGAATAACTCTTGCATCGCTCTAGGACCACCAATGAAAGTTGACGGTAGGATAATCTTCTTACCGATGGCAAAATCATTGTTGTTGAGCGCGTCAGTAGCACCGTTGTATAAGTCTGCTCGTATTTGTTTTTGATTGAATTTGAAGTATTTCATCCGAGCATTTTCGATACATACATACATATCCACCAAATATTCTTGGAAGAGACGTCCGCCTCGGAGGATAGGGGAAAACGTGTTAATTCGGCTGAAGAGTGTATATGCAAACCACTCGAGATTGGATACTTTTCCGCTTTGCCCTGGAAGCATGTAGTATGTTAATGAGTTACTCCTCGAGTGACAGAGAAGAAAGTGACAAACTGACTGCGCGTGTTCATGTAACGGTAATGTTCATCCCACCCATGGGAGCCATGCATAAAGAAAATGGGGTATTGGAGTGAAAAATAGTTGGTATTAAGTTCGGATATTCTTCGCAATGATCCATTGACGCGTTGAAGTACAATATCACGGTCGAGCGATCCAATGGCACCATCACCATCAATAACGGCTGAAACTTCGTCGCAAGTCGGGAAATTGTATCGGTTCTTGTTGCGGTTGCCTATTGGCATTGATTTAATTTTAATCGTCTTGACAGTGTTCTCGTTGAGTAGTTGTTCTGCTGACTTATACATCCTAGCAAATGGATTAAGAGCATACATGAAGTCTTGAAATTTGCGCAATAAACTCAAGTCCAATTTACCACCAACAAAAGCGCTACGTGCAGTGCCTTCGTTATCACCCTCGTCACCAAACATAAACATTTGGGCAAATTTTTTCTTCAGACCGGGCGCCGGGAAAAGCGAACCGATCCTGTGTGTCAATCTACCGCTGATCTTGTAAGTCCATGAGCCACCTCTGCCAGCAACTGACATGTCTTGCTTGGCTCCCGTCGATGCGAATGAGAGGGCATTGTTGTATCTACGTATATTCTTTTGAAAATCTTTTGAAACTGTGAAGTGGATTAGAACAGTGCGCAGGCTGAGCAAAGAGAATAACAACACACTCTTGTCTTGTTTTGAAAGAAGGTTCTGCAAAAAAACGGGGGTAAGTTTATTCTCCACGCGATGGCTGGGAAGTCTGACAGCGCCTTTCTGGCAACACATCGCATAAGAAGCGCTCTCCGTAAGCCTAGTGTAAGACCTACGGTCATTACAAGACACGTAACGATATTACTTAAATATTAAATACTTAAATCTTAAATTTCATTTTCTATATATAGTTCTTTTCATTTCGATCTTGCCGATTGGTTCCTTAGAGATATCGGGACTGATTATAATCCCTCTATCCTTCGGAACCAGGTATAGTCATTACTTT